GTTAGACAAAAAGTCGATCAATCCTTCGGATCAGGCTGCTATGACATACGAAGCTGATGTGGTTGTTATTTTATCGGAGAGATTAATCTTTCAATTCGCCCATGCGTGGCTAAACACAAAAGGGCAGGGAGATGCTGTTCGGTTGAAAGATCTTAGTTGGGGATCAGGCGGAAAAAGTAGATATAAAATAAAATGCTTTCTACCTTGTTTTTGTTGAAATTATGGAAATTCTGTAGCTGAGAGCAAAATTAGAAGGTCCCTCAAAATCACACATATGGCAATTTTTGTAGATATTTGGAAAGACTGGATAGATTGAGGCTAGGGTACTTTTCATTTCGTTTGAATAGGCGAGTGGAAGGGATTCGTAAATTGGCCTCACCGGGCTCAAATTTTTCAGCATACTAATGAGTATGGCATAGCAACAACGCATAAACATCCTCCAAGCTACAACAGGCTTTAGAATTGCACTTTACTGTCTTACATAAAGAAAAGTTAAGATCGCATTCCCTTTTCTTCCTGCATAATCTTGCGTTTCCTACATGCATGTATGAAAAGCGCAAAGTACTCAATCAGAGCATGGACTATGCAGAAAAACAGGATTTCGAAGTATCCCAACTTGGTGCACTACTTACGGCTGTTGAATAGGATTGGAGTGAGTGGGAAACGAGAAGTACAATCGACAAGAGGAGAAGGTTAGCTTATGCTAGAATGCCGTTGTGACTCTCAGACACTACTCTTTATAAGAGCAACGCATTCACATATCACATGTGGCAATGAATGCAATCCCACGCGGTAACATTGCAGGATCAAGAGTATACGTCGTGCCTTAAGGGAGGATGCAGCTGTTCGGCCACAATTGCATCCGTTTCACGCTTTATCTGCAGCCACTTCACATCTCTTCCGCAGCCACTTAATTTGACTTTTTAGCAGACATTTATCAAAGCAGAGGATATCCATCTAAAACATGAGATGCCTAAATAAGTGGACCAAATCGGACTATAAGAAGAAGATAGGCTTGAAGCTGGCCACCTTTCTTCCCCTTGTGCTTCTGGCCAGTTATCCTTAAGCATGGCGTCCTGTGCTGACCAGGTTCGTCACATGACGGACAAAAGCTCATGCGGGATTCATCGTGGTCGCAGGCCGACAATATAGGAATCTAATTGTTATCAATTAATCTGGGACTGTTTAATAGCGTCCAAATGAACAAGATCAAACCATTTGAAATGATCTTTTTAGTCTCCAGATGTGAAATGCATGCCAAGTGACATACACTTTATAAACGTAGTAGGAATTAATACGCGTCTGGTGTTTTTCGCCCAGTTCTGCGATAACCCATTTCTCTCATAGCCACATTTCTTCCTCTTTGCTTTACAACGATCAACTCGCGCCCAGGAAATTTCAATAGCCTGATCTCATGCGAATTGCCTTTCAAAAGGTTACTCTGTTTTTGCTCAATATACTCTCAGGCCCAGCGAACTAAAATTGCTGGTTGAGTACTAGAATCTCTTTTGCTAACAAATTTGGGCCAGGAAAAGTAACTTACATCAGTCATAGATCATCTTCGCTTGACGAAACGCTTAAGGTTTAGATCTCAAAACTGCCAACTAGCTCGTGAGTATTGCATACGCACAACGCATAAGCATCTTCAAAGCTACGA